AATAAATAATAAATAATAACTAATAATAATACTAATGATAATAATGATAATATTAATAATGAGAATCGTAGTTATCATTAGCGTAATGATAATACTAATAAGACGAATCATAATAATAAGAAGAAGACGAAAAAGAGGAGGAGGAGGAGGAGGAGGAGAAGGAGGAGGAGGAGAGCAGTGCTCATCTTGGGTGGGAGAGGGAGGGGAGAAATGGGAGGGGTGGGGGTTGGTCGCGCGTCACCCCCGCCAGGGCACTGGGGCCGGGGCGACGCCCTCGCCTTCGTGCGCGCCTCTGGCCGCCAGCTGTGGCTCCTCTCGCAGGACCCTGCCAGGCGGCTCCCCTCGAGGGGGGGGGGAGGGTGAGCAGCCCCGGCGGAGGGAGATGGCTAGGGGAATGAAACATGATATAAACATAGAAACTCGGAGGTCCGCGCGCGCAGAGAAACATGATATAAACATAGAAACATAGAAACTGGCGTGGAGAAGGTCGGGCTCCACATCGAGCCGCATCGCCGATGCATCGTCGAGGCGGCGCATTGGCAAGATAGCGTACAACATCGATCCCCGAAAAAGCACGCTGTCCCTGTCAGGCGCCCCCCCCTCGAGGGCGCCCCTCTGCGCACGCCAGTCTATCCTCAAGGTGGGAGATAGCGTATAGTAAGCGGGACGGAGGCACCACCTCGCACGCTATCGATGGCAGCGCCGGCCGCACTTCGACCCCGCTTTGAGCGGCCTGGACAGATCTCGAGGAACAGAAAAAGACAATAACACGGACTTTCGGAGGTCCACGTTGATTTTTCGGATCGGCGCTGGACCCCGCTCCCTGGCGCGCGGAGCGCGCCAGGGGCGGCGCCAGAGGCGCCGCCAGGGGCGTCCAGCGCGGATCCGAGAAATCATTTTGAACCGGACTCGCTGTCGGCGTTGCCGCGGACGTTGTCTGTTTGAGACAGACAGGCGGCTGCCCAACAGCGCCTGCGGTCGGTTTTGGACCACGCTGGCTGTTGGGCCTCGTGCCCATTTTTCCCGTACGGATTGCGGGCGTGCCAGAGAGAAGGGGGGAGGGGGATGGGTGTGGGAGGGGAGAGGAGGCGAAGGAGATGGGACGGGGGAGGGCCGACGGGGGTTCCCAGAAGGGGTCCGCTCGAGGCCCCCCCTGGGCTTCTCCGCCGGGGCGGGCCCCTCGGGGATCCGAGGGCCCCTCAGGCTCCTGGGCCGATCACTCCGTGGTGCTTCGGACCAGCGCCCGTGCTCCGGACCAGCGCCGTGATGAGGGCTTCCTTGGGGTTCCCATGGGCGCCCTCTTGGCTGGGCGACGAGATCTAAACATATCCACTGCTCCTGGCCAGGCCCATCCTGGGCCCAGGAGCTGTGTATACGCCCTCCTGGCTTAGCCAGGGAGACATATACACCGCTCCAGGACCCAGGATGGGCCTGGCCAGGAGCAGTGGATATGTATAGATTTCGTCGCCCTATCTTGGGGTCCCAGGCCGGCGCCCAGAGGTCGAGCGCATGAAGGCGAGTAGTTCTACGATGCGCGGCCGGGTTCGAGTAGCTATGCTTTCCCCCTCCATCCTCCTCCCTCTTCACCGGGAGCAGGAGGAGTGGAAGGGGGCGGGGATGGCGGGAGAGGAGGAGAGGGAGGAGGTAGACGCGACGCGAAGAGGGTTGATGAGGAGGGAGAGGATGAGTGCTCGCAAGTCCTGTCACATACTTGGGATTTCGCCGCGACTCGGGCCCCGAGCGGTCCGTTCGGGACGATCCCGACGCTCCCGGTGAGCTCTGGGCGAGATGCATCCGATGGGAGAGCCTCTGTTTTCCAGAGCCTCCGAACATTCGCCCCCAAACGCAGGTGCGACCGCCTCCCCCCTTCACACTCCTCTCGCCTCCCTGCCTCCCTCCATTCCTCGTTCCTGCTTCTCCCCTGCGCCTCCGCTCGCTCCCTCTCGCCCCGGGAGCTCAGTCTCGCCTGCCCTCCTTTCGTCCATCTCCCTCTCGCCCCTAAGAGGTTGCCACTGGCAATCTGCTGTTATCCAGTCACATGTGCCCCTGCCCCCGCGCATGGAGATGCCATTTGTTGATGCCACTGCGCTTGTAGTCGGAGCTGCTACCAGGGATGTCGCCATTGTCGCTACGCTCTCTATGAAGACGTGGCATCTCGCCCCTCCCCTGCTCGGGGGCTCGCAGAGGGGGGGTGCTTACCAAGGCGGGGTCAGGTGGCGAACCCATCAGAGGCCATCTTTTCCTTTGATTCAGGAGCTGTACATCGCGATTTTCCACCATACCCACCTCTCGGGGCTTTCCATCGCGATCTTCCTCCCCCCCCCTTCTTCTTCTTCTCGCCCCGTCCCTGCCCCCGCCCTCCCCTCCTCCCGCCCAGCCAAGGCTGGGGGATTGCTTCTGCACGAGCTGCTGGGCGCGGAACGAGGAAGGGTCGGATCGGTGCAAGGCTTGCAAGCGCTACGACAGCCTGTCCAAGGTTCGGTCGACAGAGCTGGAGTAAGGGATGGAAGGGATGGATTGGGGGAGTGATGCGATGCGATGCGATGCGATGCGATGTGACCAACCATCGTTGCGGACAGTGTCCAGGCCTAGCTTAGACCATGTGGGTGAGGCCGTGGCAGTGAGAGTTGGCTTGTCTGGATACACGCAGTATGCAATGCGGGACACATAAAAACAAGTTCGGAGGAGAGAAGGAGGAAGAAGAGGAAGTCCTTGGGGTCGGTGTCGGCGCGGGCTGGGCGTGTCGTCTCGACTTTCTCTGGGCGTTCACTTTGTCGGTCTCGGTCCTGGGTTTGCTGGTGTGAGGTCGGTGTGGTGATGCTCAAGCGCCGTCCATGTTTCCGTATCTTGGGCTGTTTGCGTCCGTGTGATGTCGTTTGGTTGTTCTCTCGATTGGATCAGTGTGGATTGTCGGTGGAGGTTTCGTCTGCGTTGGCGAAAGTTGGAGTTGATTCAATCGTCGCAGCGCTTGTGTTGGCCACCGTGCTGCCTCTGTCCCTGCTGGCGCCGGATGGGGGGAGTGAGAATGGGGGAAGAAGGACGTGGGCAGAGGGACGAGGGAGGGATGGATGAGGAGGTTGAGGGTGAGGCGGATGAGGCGGATGATGCGGATGAGGAGGCGGCGGAAGAGGATGAGGAGATGAGGATGAGGTCGAGGATGAGGAGGATGAGGAGGAGGGGGAAGGCGAGGAGGAGGATGATGAGGAGAAGGAGGAGGAGAGGACAAGGATTATGATCATGAGGATGAGGATGATGATGCTGCTGCTGCTGATGATGATGATGATTATGATGATGCTAATGCTGATGATGATGATGCTGATGCTGGTGATGATGATGATGATGATGATGGTGATGATGCTGATGATGATGATGGCGATGATGATGCTGATGATTATGCTGATGATGCCGATGCTGATGCTGCTGATGATGCTGATGCTGATGATGATGCTGATGATGATGATGATGATCTGATGATGATGATGCTGATGATGATGATGCGATGATGAGATGATGATGCTGATGCTGATGATGATGATGATGATGATGATGATGATGATGATGATGATGATGATGATGATGATGATGATGCTGATGATGATGAGATGATGATGATGATGATGATGATGATGATGATGATGATGATGATGATGATGATGAGATGATGATGATGATGATGATGATGATGATGATGATGATGATGATGATGATGATGATGATGCTGCTGCTGCTGCTGCTGCTGATGATGATGATGATGATGATGATGATGATGATGATGATGATGATGATGATGATGATGATGATGATGATGATGATGATGATGATGATGATGATGATGATGATGATGATGATGATGATGATGATGATGATGTCGACGAGGAGGAGACGGAGGATCATGTGGCTCAAATGGACATTTGCGACGCCTCAAGGGCGGGGGAAGGGGCTCTTCTGGGGATCGCCCCAACGAGGCCCGATTAGCAGGCACGAGCGCGTGTGCGGGCGAACCTGGCGAGAACGTCTATGATGGCGCGTCGATGCCTACACTTAAGTCGGGCCTGTCCCTCTACAGGGGGAATACTCAAAAATAGTCAAATAATAGTCTGGGGACAATTTTTTCAATATTTTTGGGCATCTTTTGGGTTGTTCGGGTATTTTTATTTTTTCGGCCAAAATCCCCCTGTAGGGGGACAGGCCCGACTTAAGCCTACACATCCGCTGCGTTCAGAGAAGCACAGTTCGTCGCAGTCGGGCTCGACGAACTAATCAGTTCACACGCCGACACGGTTGGCGGCTTTTGAGTTCCGCAGGAGTTTTTCTTTGGCCTCGACGCAGCTCGATTCTTGTTCCAGTTTGCGATGGGGGTAGGATGTGTGTTTTGAAGTTTCTGGTGTGGAGCTTTCCGATGTCCAATGCGAGGTTTTTTGTTTGAAGTCTCGGCTTCTCCCAGTTTTGTATTGTCTTCAATTGTTTCAGGTGTTGAGCTTTTCGCCCACAGGCGGGCGAAGCCGTTGGTCGCCCAGGCGAAAACCTGTCGAGCCTGGATCCCCTCTCCGAGATTGTAGCTCCGAGGGAAGGCAGGGAGGATTAAGGGATGTGGGCAAAGAGAAGGAACATGGACTTGGGCGGCAAATGGGGGCATGGAGGAGGGGCGATGAGTCTGGAAGGCAGCGTCTCTTGACTGCAGTTGTGGCGCTTGCTGTTGCTAGCCAGCGAGCGCGACACAGGTATGAGGCGCCAGTGTCGCACGCTCAAATGTGGACCTGCAATGGCATGCGGGTAACGCGTGCCGAAAGAGGAGGAGGAGGAGGATGAGGAGGATGCGGAGGCGGAGGCGGAGGCGGAGGCGGAGGAGGAGGAGGCGGAGGAGGAGGAGGAGGCGGTGGAGGAGGAGGAGGAGGATGAGCAGAGTGAGGGTAACGTGTGCCAAAAAAAGAGAACGAGGACTGTATAGGTAGAGCAGGTGCTCTATGGCACCATGGGGACTGGCAGAGGCAAAGGCTGGTGGCCCCGAGGGCCCAGAAAGAGAGGGCACGACCTGAGCAATTGGCGAAGAGAAAGCGGCGCACTGCTGCTGATCGGGAGCGGGGAGGAGTGATGGGAGAGGGGGGGAGAGAGAGGGGAGAGAGAGACGAGGGGAAGGCAGGACCTTGAAGAGCGGGGAGGAGCGGGAGGAGTGGGAGGGAGGGAGGGAGGGAGCGAGAGCGAGCGAGGGAGGGAGGGCGGGCGGAGGCGGCTCCCCCTCGCCCCCTCCCTGGCCCCGACGAGGTGGGCTATCCGCGCCGGCTGGCTCGCCGCACGCCGACGCCCCCTGCGCTGCCTGGCCGGCTGGGCCCTGTTGCCGGCCTGCCTGCTCGGGGCTCGTCGGGCATGGGCCGAGCCGATCGGCACGAACGAAATGGGTACGGAAATAATGGGTACAGGAGGAGGAGGAGGAGGAGGAGGAGGAGGAGGAGGAGGAGGAGGAGGAGGAGGAGGAGGGGGAGGAGGAGAAGGAGGAGGAGGAGGAGGAGGAGGGGGAGGGGGAGGAGGGGGAGGAGGAGGAGCAGGAGGAGGAGAAGGGGTTCGGAGAGAATGGGTGCAATGCCCAACAGCAGTTCCTGTTCATTTTGAACAGGACTCGCTGTCCGCGCCGCCGCGGCCTGTGTCCATTTGAGACAGAAGGCCGCCTGCCCCACAGCGGCCGCTGTTGGTTTTAGGACAACATTTGCTGTTGGGCATTGTACCCATTTTTCCCGTACCCATTTCGGGCGTCCACAGAGCCGAGGAGCGAGGACCAGGCAGCACTGGTCGAGTGTGTTTAGGCGGCGAGCGAGGGGGGACGGAGAGCGAGAGGGAGGAGGCCCTCTCAGGAGGCGGCGGGACTTCTCGGAAGCCCTCGCGCCCTCGGGGAGGTTTCTCCTGCGCTTTCGGGGAGCGCCCAGCAAACTTCCCAGAAGGCCGGTGGACTTCTGAGCCTTCCGAGAAGGAATTCTCCATCCCACTTCCACCCCGGGCGCGCCGTCAGGCGTGAGCTTCTCCCCCACTGCTCCCTCCCGTTGAATGAAGACTTTGCAAGTCAATAAGCGCTGGGGGAGCACTTCGCGTGACCCCCCCCCGGCCGTCACATAGAGCAAGCGTTCCCTGAGAAGGCAGCGTCCTGCTCAGCTTCCTGCTTTCCCGTCTCCCATCCCCCTCCTCCTCCTCCTCCTTCTCCTCCTCCTCCTTCTCCTCCTCCTCCTCCTCCTCCTCCCCCTCCTCCTCCTCCTCCTCCTCCTCCTCCTGCTCCTCCCCTGCATGCCTGTTTTGTTGTTTGCCATTTGTGGTTCGAGTTCGTGTGGGGTGACAAACCGCCCAATGACCGAACGAACGCGAGCGCGCATTGTCATGTCATTGTGTCCCGAGATTGCCCTTCCATTTCTCTCTTCTCCCCTTCCTTTTCATTCCTCTCTCTTCCCGTTGTCTCCCTCCGCCTCTTCGTCCCCTTGTTCGTTCCCCTCATGCTGCTCATCCATCCTAGGAGGATGACGGGGGAGGGTTGAGGAGGATGAGGAGAGGGGGACGATGGTGGAGGAGGATGTGGGTGGAGAAGGAGATGAGTATGGCGAACGAGACTTTGCCCGCATTCAGCCGGGCCGGCGGCTCCCTGGGACGTCCATTCGAATGGCAAGTCGAACTCGTGGGCTGGCGGCCCGAGGACCCTGGTTTGCACCACGATAGCTCGCCTCGTCCATGCAGTAGCTTTCACGTGATTGTGCATGTGTCACAGAGCAAGCGCACCATATGATGTACTGGCCAAGCCCAGGTGCGTTCGGTGGTCACCCCCGTGTGGTGAGAGCACCAGCATGCCACAGAGCCCGTCATGCCACAACAAGGTGTGGCTCTCTTTTCTCTGTTTGGTCCGCGCAGCAGGGAATTCAGGGGGAGCACTGTAGAGTTAGTGTCTTGCAAGAGCTGTTTAGGAAATCCAGCGGTGCACGCGTGCGTGCGTGCGCAGAGGGCGGCACAGACGCGATTGCTTGCACCGTGCACTTTAGGTTAAGAGTCCCACTAAGTGGGATAGCAGCTGCAGGCCAAATTTCGCCGTAGCCCCGCGCTTTGTCTTACGCCGCATGCTCTCCAACACAAGGCGAGGAGCGTGAACGAAGCATTCCATTCTGGCAGCGCTGTCATAAAACATACGTTCCCTTCACCGTCACAATCTCCATACTCTGACCTATTACCTCCACTCTCAACCTCAAGACGGTCCCAATGGAAGATACGAGCTTGCAACACAGTCGAGCCCACCGCCGACCCCCAGAAATATCAGGCAACGTCGACATGCCACTGGCACTCCGGGGGGTTGCCCATGTCCTGTCCAGGATCAGATCACGAGGGTGATGAACCCAAATCGAACTATTGCACCTGATCCCAGCAGAGCAATACTGCATGGATTTACGATGACGTGCCAGGTTTGAAGCTACATGGCCACCGAACCAGGCACCTGCTCCAAGTGCGGTAAGCTCGGGCACCCCGATGCCTTGGTCT